AGGCTATGGTTTTTCCAGCAGTCATGCGTGGACGTAAGAGTTGGACTATAGAGAAAGCTGAGCACCAAAGAATTGATGCTTTTGAACTGTGGTGTTAGAGAAGACTCTTGAGAGTCCCTTGGACTGCAAGGAGAACCAACCAGTCAATCCTAAAGGAAATCAGTCCTGAATATTCACTGGAGGACTGATGCTAAAGCTGAAACTCCAATACTTTGGCCACCTGATGCGAAGAACTGACTCATTTTAAAAGACACTGATGTTGGGAAAGACTGAAGGCGAGATTGGGGACAACAAAGGATGAGATGGCTGGATGGCATCACCGACTCAATGAACATGAGTTTGAGTAAACTCCGGGAGTTGGTGATGGACAAGGAAGCCTGGCGTGCTGCAGTCCATGGGGTCACAAAGAGTTAGACACAACTGAGCAAGTGAACTGAACTGAACTGAATAAGTTAAATGGCATAAGTAAAACTGTAATATGCAGGAAATATATTTTTTAAATTGTGCTATTGTTTTGGTTTGATTTGAAGTTTAGGTAATTCACTTTACACGATGTATTTCTGATGTAAATCTGACATCCTACTCTGAAATAACCTACTCAACAAATTAATCAATGTATCTGAGTTATCTTTCATCTTGTTTCAGAATTCTATGCATTCTCCTAACTCTTAGATAAGTTTTCTAGCTGAAAAATAATAACCACCATTTGTGATTAAAACCATCATAATTATGTTAGGCCTACTGAAAATACTATAATAGATATTTTTTGCTAATTCTGAAATAATGTCCCAAGATTCAATTCAACTTTAAGGTATGTTTAAATTCAGGAAAATCTCTCATTTGCAAATGTTGAAATCTTCAGTCAAACTCCTCAAAAGACTGGTGGTTTACTTTTAAAAAAATGAAAAATTTACAAACTACTTGATTCCTTTTATCCCATGGACCCTATAAAACTAACTTTTATGACACAATTTACTTTCTACAGACAAACAGCTTAAAAGCATAAATGCTGCTATTGTAATTTAGCCTCTAAGTTGTGACCCTGTGGACTGCATCCCACCAGGCTCCTCTGTCCCCGGGACTTCTCAGGCAAGAATACTGGAAAGGGCCACCATTCCCGTCTCCAGGGGATCCTCCCAACTCAGTGATCAAACTCATGTCTCCTGCTTGGCAAGAAGGTTTTCTATCACTGAGCCACCTGGGAAGCCCCGAAAAGTAAAACTATGTCTCGGTAATTCCCTGGCAGTCCAGTGGTCAGAACTCTGTGCTTCTACTACAAGGGGCAGAGGTTTGCTCCCTGGTCTGGGAACCAAGGTCCTGTAAGCCGCACAGCACTGCCAAAAATAAATTATTTTTTTTTAAAGTATAAATGTAACTAATAACCTCAGATAAGCTCAGTAAGACAAGTTCTTCCATTGCATCTTTAGCCTCAGTAGTACTACAAGGCTGTATCTTTACTAGATACAGATTCATTTTAGTCTTGAATTAGGTGCAATAATGATACCACTAACAATGACAAAAAAATTTAATAAAATGTAAAATGTGTCCAAGTGAGATTTACAAGCTAGAAAATTTAGTAACATATCATTTTATCTGTTAGAGCCCACTGAGTCTTATTCATCAGGCTGGTTCTATGATCACTTGTGCCTGAGTCATTTTTTTTAAAAATATGAATATGCAGTGCCTAACCTAAGAGAATCAGATTACTGAGGTCTGATATTTCTCCCTTCAACCTTCAAAGGGAATGCCAAGGTAAGTCATGCTTGAAAATCACCATCATATGCCTTCTACATCCATCAAGTATAGTATAATGAGAACTGGGAAGGCAAGGTTATGTCCTCAAAGATTAATGATACTGGCTATATAAAATTTACTACGGCAGTACGGTTGAAATAGTACATTTTAGAGCAATGAAAAATTAGTATTACCATACATATTTTTATTGTCTAAACATCACAGAACACAAGGCAATCAACTAAATCTTAAGGTGCATTCCAATTAAATATGCCATAAACTCTGAGTGTACTGTACAAAAGAGAAAAACTAGCAACATGAATTTTTTCCCAAAAAGGATCTATTTCCTAGTTGGTTCATTATGCAATGGTTGTATTTTATTTCCACAAAATTATACTTCATAAGGAAAACAATTATTTTGGAAGACATTTTCTGAAATGTGAAAAGCACTTTCCCAAGAAAATATTTCAGTATTTGATGATACAAACCCAGGAGAATAAATACAGATTGGGCAGGGGAGGAAGACTTTATTGGGAACCGCAGAGAAATAATCAAATAAGGCAAAACAAAATACTTTTATCCTGTACTGCTTGTAAGGCTGTTTTATGTTTTTGTTGTTATTTATTAGCACAAGGCAAACAAAAACCTATGTTAAGAAACAATACTGTTAAAACGTGCTATTATTCCTCCAATTTTAACAATTTCCTTGAAAAATGAAACTAATATTTGCTTCTATCTTTCCATACCATTGGGCTTCCCTGATAGCTCAGCTGGTAAAGAATCTGTCTGCAATACAGAAGGCCCTAGTTCGATTCCTGGGTCAGGAAGATCCCCTGGAGAAGGAAAAGGCTACCCACTCCAGTATTCTTGGACTTTCCTTGTAGCTCAGCTGGTAAAGAATCTGCCCACAGTGCGGGAGACCTGGGTTTGATCCTGGTGCTGGGAAGATCCCCTGAAGAAGGGAAAGACTACCCACTCCAGTATTCTGCCCTGGAGAACTCCATGGACTGCACAGTCCATAGGGTTGCAAAGTGTTGGACACAACTGAGCAACTTTTACTTTTTCCATAGCATTAAGAAACATTACTAAAAATTACTAAACATTACTAAAAATTAAGTGTCTCTTAATTTATTGTCAAAATTAAGAACATGGAGTCAACTAACCACCACAGTGTAGTCAAGTGGAAAGCCTATCAATTTAGGAGTTTTTTTAAAACCTGGATTTACCACCTGCAGGGCTTTGGACAAATTCCTTTTAGTCTTGTGCTTAATGATCTAAAATTGAGCTTACTACCATCTTGTTTACAAGGTTATTAGAGAGGTTACAGACATTGTAAATAAAGCTCTTATTGTAGGGCTTCCCTGGTGACTCAGCAGGAAATCCCTGCAATACAAGAGACACAGGTTCAATCCCTGGGTCAGGAAGATCTGGAGGAGGAAATAGCAACCCACTCCAGTATTCTTTTGCCTGGGAAATCCCCTGGACAGAGGAGCCTGGCAGGGGTCACAAAAGAGTCAGATATGACTTAGCAACTAAACAGCAACAATATTACCTAGCTCTTGGAACTGACTTAATAAAGAGTAGCTATGAGAATAAGGATAATCTGAGCTCTTTCTTTCTCTGAAAAACTTATGTTTCTAATGTTTTTCACCTTGGTATATTTTAAATGCATAAAACCTAAAATATGGTCATCTTGAACCATATGGAAGAAATAAAAATAAATTCCCAATATGTCAGCTACAAAATAGATCAACATTAATTTTCTCATTAAAATATAGAAATTGAGTAGAAGCTGCTTGAAGAATCTTTTTCAAAAGTTCAACATCTCACTTCATGGATTTTTAGCCATAACAACAAAATTCTACACTTTTCCTAGGATTTTTATTCCTAGAAGAAAGAAACATAAAATGTTCATCCACCTCCAGAGAAATAAGCTTACTGCCTCATCACCATAGGCAAAATAATATACTGATAGCGCCAGTTTGGCAATGACAGATCATAATAAGCCAGCCTAGATTCTGTATTTCATTTAACTGATTTTCTGGATCTGGGGCACTGATTTTTAAGCCTTACAAAAGCCAAGACAATCAATCCCATTTCATCATGAATCATGACTTCAAATTATTATTTCAAAAAGGCAGATATTTAACTATTTAGGCTCTAAAAGACAGTGAATTATTTTCAATGATGACTCACATGCAAATACAGAGTTTTAGAACTATGCCTAACTTTATTACTAGGAAGTTCTTTCCAAACATGCTTACAATAATATAGAAATCAAAGTGCTCATTAATAGTTCATAATTTTCTTTATATGCTGACACTTGAAATAATTTTCCAAAGTAGATTATGTACCATTATGATGTTTAAGAGCAAAAGTATACTTCTTATATCTATTAAATGTGTTATTCTTTGGTCTCTTTTATTTTTATTTATCAAAATGTTCCTTAATAGCTTAAAATTGGCATATTACTTCATACAATCAATAAAAGGTGCTCTTAAGTACTGCTAAAGAGTTAAAGTATCAGCTATAATATACAGAGAGAAGAAATTTTTTCACTACAGTGGTCTAATAGGTAGCTAAATTTAGTATTTCAATAAATACATTATTTAACATTCAGAAATTGATAGGACTATAGATACGATAATTAAAATCAATTAAAATCATAGACGTATTGTATTTCTAAAGTCCCTGGTAAAAACTTATTTAGTTACTTCCATTCTCAGATATGTTCTGGGTTTCCATTTTGTCCCCAAATATTATTTCATTAGCTTTTCTATCTTTATATTTCTTTCTCTCTTTCTATTGGCTTCCTATACCATGAAAGTATATCTTGTGAGTTTAATTTAAAATTTTCTGTGCTCATCCCTGCTAAATCTAAAATGCTTGTATTCCTACTCACTGTAATGTAAATTTGATAGTGCTTCATATCTATCCATTATCAAAACTAACACAGTAATAGTCAAACAAAACAGACTAATAAAGTGCTCATGTAGGAATACAAAACATAAAAATCTTCAAATAGGACATTCACACCCAGATTTCTCAATTCCCCTGCCTCCACCACTAATTCACCTCACTTCATTTGTTCCCTTCCCCTATACTATTATTTATGCTGAAAATGGAGAGAATTCCTTTCAAAATCTGTCACTGAATTTCTTTGTCTAAAATGACATATATACATGCTGTCTAGTAATGTATTTGAGAACCTCTATATGAAAAATTTCTGGTATTTCCTACTTTGTACAGTCCTAACAGATACATACCTATGTCATATGCCAGGAAATCGGCAGAAAAACATTTTGCACCGTTACTCAGGGAAGTGTCATTATGGGTATTTCCTCCAAAAATAAGCATAGCTCCATTGATAAGAACAGCTGAATGAAGGTATCTGGCAAACCCACTTTCTTTCAAAATAGTCCTACAGGATAAAATTTAAAAATGTATTACAAAAGATAAAAAGACCTCCCTGATCTTATATCAAGTACAGAAAGGATCTAATTTGAATACAGAATTTTCCTTGGAATTGTGAAAGTAACACGCTTTGTTATTTTTAACAAATGGCCTCTAAACTTCAATATTTTTAGAAAATACTTTGAGATTCAGAGTACCTTAAAATGCTTTGAGGAAACACAATATTAAACATAATCATTAATGATTTCATAATAATTTATATTTTGCATTTTGTTTTTATTTATAAAAGTAGGAAACAAATTTCCTTTAAACTAGAGGACCGACTTATCACCAGTCTTAAATACTAAAGTAAATAAATAGCTAAATGTAATAAATTTAAACAGTATGCAGTTAAAACTATATGACTCATATGGATCCAATAAAATGTTTTTAACTCATAAATATATACATAAAAGTGCACATACCATAAGTCTAAAACCCAATGAATTTCCACAAGATGAACACAACTAAGTAACCAGTACTAAGACCAAAAAATAAAAAATTACCACTATTCTGATTCTAATAGCAAAATCTAGATGGCTGTCTTTGTACTTTACAAAATGGAATGACATAGTTGGTATTCATTTGTATTCATGTTCTCTTGCTTAAGATTATTTTTGAGGTATATCTATATTGTGTATAACTGAAAATCTCAATGCATTTTTGAGAAACAATAAAATTAATATAAATGTTCTTTTAATTAATTACAGTGTAATTCTGAGAGAAAAACTATAAATATATGTTCACAAGTATATTTTACCTGAATGAACTAAAATATATTAACGGTTCAGGGCAATACGAGTCAATACTTTATAAATAAATCCCTAGTACAAAGAATCATAATATAAACACAGTTAACATGTATGGTACAGTTAGTAAGGCAAATATAGTATCTTAAAAGCCATAGATTTAATGCCACTCAATGGACATGAGTTTGAGCAAACTCCAGGAAATGGTGAAGGACAGGGAAGCCTGGTGTGCTGCAGTCCACGGGGTCGCAAAGAGTTGGACACGACTAAACGACTGAACAACAACAAATGCTTACCAGAACTGACCTCCAGAATGGCAATATAAGGAGACCCATAAACAATCTCCCCAGGGAAAGAACTATAATTGGTAAAAATTATTTTTTTAAAAAAGTCTTTTTTGGATCTCAAAAACTTTTGCTTAGAGCAGCAACAAATAAAAAAATAATTACCCAGGAACATCAACTAAATTTCAGCAAGAACAGCAACAGTCCATGATATCTGACTCATTACCAACTCTCATTCTTCCCATTACCACCACCTCCCCACACATACACAACCTGTTCCGCAAGACTGCTCAACACCAGGCTGGTACGGCTGAGAACAGAATACTCCTGTATCCCTCAGTTCCTAGTTCAGGAGCAACAGATTGCCAATACTTCTCATGCCCCCTAACTCTTGGTGGCAGAAGCTCTATTCAAGGGGAAAGCATGAGAGGTCTGAGTGCTTATTCTCTACCTTGCTCCCACTCACAGGATGGAAGCTAAACACCAGGCCTCCCACACACGTTAAGAACATGAGGGCCCAAAAATCTTCACCCCTAATTCACAGGGCAGCAGTTCCAAGATAAAAGAGGAAGGCTGAGAACAGCAAAGGCTACCATCAATATCCAATGCACATAACACAGGGGTGTCACTGAAAGAACAAGCTACGAACCCCCACCTACATTTCCAAAGCAATCACAGAGAGGTTATCCTCCACAGGGAGAGGCAACCTACGAAAAGGAAAGGTCGGTCCAAAGCTCTCCCAAGGGAACCTGACCTCATTTGGTACAGGGCAGCAAGCTTCAAGCTTTAAAGGCACTCTTAGAAACAATGGAGGTTGTTTATCATGTATCTACCTGAGAACAATAAGCTAATACATAGACCAACCAGAAGTTTATCAGAGAGAATCAGGGGGAAAGACAGCTAAGAAGAGCCTTACTGAGGTCAGAACATCAATGACTGGCCTCAAAGACTACCGATGTAGGTATAAAATGCAATTCAGACCGTGAAGCAATTCATGCCCACAGAGTTTTGCTGAAAATAACAGAGCTATCAGTTGGCAATTAGTGGAGGCTAGGGGGTGAGGGTGATACAAACAGAGGCAGAGAGCTTAACAAAGCTCAGAGGAAAAAGTCAAAGAACTGCTAAAATCCCGATCATCCCAAGGTGACTATGTGCCTCCCCAGCCTGCACCATCTGAAGAGGAACATCAGAGGATGCATGTGGAGAAAGAAAGAGACTTCACTAAAAGAATTCAGCCAAGTCCCTAAACAAATGAAATTACAGCAGCCTCAGGGAGGAGGAAAAGTCAGGATCCAGAGTTGCTACAATGTATTGCCTAAAATGCCTGGCTTTCAGGGAAAATTACCATGTGCAATGAAATAGGTAAGTGTGACCAATACCATATACAGGAATAAAAGCAAGCAACAGAACTACCTTTGAGAGAACTCAGATGCCAGATGAAACAAAAAAAGATTCCAAAGCAGCTATTAAAAAGACTTAAAGAAAACAAAATTTAAAGAAGTATAACAATGTCTTATTAAATATAAAGCATCAACAAAGAAGAATAACCAGGAAAAGAAACATTTGGAGTCGAAAAGTAGAAAATTGAAATTTTAAAACTTAGCAGAGAGACTCAATAGCATATTTCAGCAGGTAAAAGAAAAAAATCAGTGGACCAGTAGATAAATCAGTAGAGATTCTGCAATTCCAAAAACAGAGAGGAAAATGAACAGTCTATGAGAAATATACACCACCATTAACAGCAAGAGCATGCATTTACTGGGAGTTCTAAGGTAGAGGGGGAAGAGGTAAAAACTTGTTTGAGAAATAATGACTGACAACTTCCTAAATTTGATGAAAAACATTAGCATACATATCAAAGCAGCTCAACAAACTGCAAGTAAGAAAAAAGTACAGAAAGAACCACATTCAGATATACAATAGGAAAAATATTGACAGTCTAAGATAAAATCCTGCAAATAGCAAGAGAAAGAAGGTTCTCTGCATACAAGAGAACCCAATAAGATAAATATCTCACTAAAGACCAAAAGGCAATGGGATGGCATATGAAAATGTTGAATTTTTTTAATAAGCCAGAATAAGAAGACACAGGGGACAGTCATTATCAAGGTGCTGGAGTAAGACTTTCCTGCTGAGAAAAAAAATGCTGCCTGTCATATCAGTAAAAAAAAAATGCCGCAGCCATCGAGCAATCACACTGCAACCCCGATGGTGAGCCCTGGGGAAACTCAGAATGGAAACAGAACGCCCACCAGCGAGGCCACCCTGGACAGAGCACCCTGAGCAGATTCAGGATGAGAAGCACAAGAGACTGGCCCCAGATAGCTGAGGTGCAGCTCAAAGGAATGATTTCTGTGAGCCTAGGCTTTGTATCTTTTCATACATAGAAAAAACTGCTAAGTTCCTGAACTTGAGATGTCTGGTTTTCCTTAAGTAACAGTAATCTTCTGATGTTCTGACTACATGGACTTGGCTGCAAAAACGCCTGTAAACCTGGCTTCTCTCTTGCCTTTCTGGAGCAGTCTCTCAGAGTTATCTGAGATGCTGTGTCTTGGGCCTAAGTCCTTAGATTTGTCCACCAAACAAAACGTAATTCTCAACTTTTAGGTTGTGCATTATTTTTTCAGTCAACACCACCGTGGTGCTCCCACAGAAGCAGTGATTTTGTCAACTACTTGGAGACAGGAGTATATCTGTGAGAACCCAGCAGTCCAGCAGAGAAGTCCTAGCCCGACTTAGAGCAAAAATTCCAAGAACAGGACTGAAGCGATTAGTAACAGTAACGTTATCACTTCACCTGCCCCAAGGCAACAGCTCACTGCCAAGAGAAACTTCAAGCTGCTGTTTCACCCATGAGCAAAGAGAGAGCCTAGTAGGTGACTAGTGTCCACCCGAGCAGGGGCCCAAGAAGCCCACTTCTTTTTCTCGCCATCCAAAACAATCATGGGATCGGCAGGGGAGAGAAAACACAGTTCTCAGCAACCAGGGTACAAAACCCAAGAAGGGCAAAGGTTTCTACTAACTACCTCAGGAACTTCAACAAGAAGCCCACCCATAATCTTGATAGGATGAAGTAGATTCACCCAAGCTAGCATATGCATGCTGTCATCAATTCATAAATCCCTCCCCCATATAGCCAATACCCCAAACACACCCCTGCAGACAGTACCCTTGAGTTTCTACAGGTCTTGCATAAGCACACATGTATAATTGGCTCCACTCTATTGAGTGGCAAAATGTGCATAACCTTGAACACTTTAGGCACTTGCACACTTCAGGCAACGCCCTGGAGAAAATAAATACCAGGTTCTCCGTAGCAGGCCTGCCTTTGTGGAGCTGAGAAAATGCAATCTCTAAAATGTATAAAAACTCACATAACTCAATAGAAGAAAAAAAAAAGAATAATTAAAAATGAGCAGAGGATCTGCACAGACATTTTTCCAAAGAAGACATACGAAGAATCAACAGATACATGAAAATCACTCAACAAGGAAAGGCAAATGAAAACCACAATGAGATATCACCTCACATACACACATACTTGTTGGAATGGTATTGTCGAAAAAACAGAAAATAACAAGTGTTGGTGAGGATGTGGAGAAAAGGGAACACCTGTGCACTGTTGATGGGACTATAAATTGGTTCCATCACTGTGGAAAACAGTATGGAATTTTCTCAAAAAATAGAACTACCAAATTATCCACCAATTCTACCCTATTTATCCAAATGAAATAAAATAACTATTTCAAAAAGATATCTGCACCCCCATACTCACTGGGGCATTATTTATAATAATTAAGGCATGGACACAACCTAAGTACCCAGAAACTGCTGACCAGAAAAGGCTATAGGAATATTATACAGCCAGAAAAAAGGAGATCTTGCCATTTGCAACAACACAGATGGACCTTGAGGGCATTACACTAAGGGAAATA